GGGGTGGCAGCATAGCTCGCCGCTGGCGGAGGGCGGCGGCGGCGGCCTCACGCGCACGCGCATCGCGCACCGTCCGGGCGGGTACGAAGTGCTGTAGGTCGGGGCCGCCGGCTCGCTGCCGTGGCTGGCCGCCTTCGCCGGGGCCCATCATGTGGAACGCCTGCGGGCCGCGTCCGACGCCGGCCGCCGAGTAGGGTCCCTGGTCGCCCGCCCAGCCTCCGAGCATCGGCATCGTCCAGGGCGCCGGCGGCTGGGCCGGCTCGAGGTTCGAGTGGTTGGCGCCGGACGAGAGATGACCAGAGCTGAGCGCGTCGTTGGAGCCGTAGGGCTGCCCGTTGGAGGAGCGGCGTCGGCTGGCGGTGCTGCCGTAGTAGGCTCCGCCGGCCGCTGCGCCCGCGGCAAGGGCACCGGCGCCCACGACCTCGGCCATGTCGTGGTGACCACCGCCCGAGTGGCCCTGGCTGTAGCCGGCATTGTTGTAGGTGACGTCGGGGTGCTGGCCGTAGCTGTGGTTCTGGCTGTAGCCTCCGTAGGCGTCGTGACCGGCGCTGGAGTCTGGCTGGCCGAAGGCCTCGGGGTCCTCGCCGTCGAAGCCGGGGGGCAGCGTGGCCTGGGCCTGGGGCTGACGGCGGCGACGTCGTGACGAGGCAGCGGCAGCGGCTCCTCCACCCGCGGCGGCAGCGGCGCCGTAGCTGGCGCCGTGGTGGTCGTCGTTGGGGTCGAACGTGGGCCAGGCGCCGCCGCCGTGGCCGAGGTCGCCCTTTTCGGCCTTGGACGGGCGCGTGCCGAAGCAGAGGAAGTAGGCGTGGCCGGTCCTCGACCTTCGCCGGGATGCCGTGATACAGATGGCGATGACCAGGGCCAGCAGCGCGAGGCCTCCCACGACGCCGCCAACGACACCGCCAATGAGGGCGCCGTTGTCGCTGCCGCCGCTGCTGCTGGCGACGGCGGTCGGGCGCGTGACTGTGGTGGTGGCGGGCGCGTAGGTGGTCTCGATGACGACGACGTTGACGGTGCTCGTGCCGCTGACGGTGGGAGACGTCGAGGTAAGGATGGTGGGCGTCGACGAGGTCGTGGTCGAGGTGATGGTGCTCGAGGTGCTGGATGTCGTCGTTGATGAGGACGATGACGATGTCGACGTCGACGTCGAGCTGGAGCTGGTCGAGGTCGAGGAGGTGGCTGTCGGGCGCGGGCATAAGGGAAACGGGCGATAGACAAGGATGCAGGCAGGTCAGTCGAGCGATCTCGTAACGGGCGAAGGTGGATCCATCGTGTCGAACTCACAGCTGCTGGACGTGGTGCGGGTGCTCGAGGAGGTCTGCCGGGCACAAGAGCGAGGGAGTTTGAGACAAAAGACAACGACAACGAGGATGCAGCGAGGTGAGCAAGGGGGTGCGCCAAGGACCGAGGGCCCGCGGCCGATGCAGGTCTGGACATCCGTGGTCAATCGATCATCAATTCCTCACCGTGCGCGTGGAAGAGGACGTGGTCCGCGTCGTCGACGTGGTCGTGTCGTCGGTGGTGGTGGGGTCCTCTGTCGGGTCGCCGGGGAGCGGATCCAGGGGGTCAAACGGGTTGAACTGGCGCTGCCACAAGGGCTGGGCGAGATGGGTGGGGGCGGCGCTCATGCTGTTGTTGACGGAGTCGTAGCACGCCCTAAGACGCAAAGACCGCAAGAGGGTGGGGACGTGGGTCTAGCTGACGATAGAGGCAGCGGCCGGATCAACAGGCAGGGAACAGTCGAGGCGTCGAGTCGAGCTGCAGCAATGACGGTGGTGATGTCGGCGGCGGCGGTGCGAGGTGGATGCCAGACTGCTGGTGGACGGCGAAGAGGCACGGGCGCGAACGTGGTCCGACGATCACGACGACGACGCGGGGAAAAATAAAAAACGAGCGGCGGAGGGGGGTCACTGCCAAAAATAGCGGCCCGACGCGGGTGGATCGACGGTGGGGGTGGAGCGGCGATCCCGTTTGACAGGACAATTTGCGGGGCGAGAGTGCAGTCGGCGAGGAAAGGAGCGAGGTCGAGCGGGTACGAGGGAAACACTGGCGCGGATGGTTGCGTGTGGGGTTGAAGGAGGATGGTGACGGTGATGGGGTGGGTGGTGTTGGCGGTGGTGGTGGTGGTGAGGAGGAGGGTGAATGGCCCGCCGAGGCCCAGGTGGCAACGTCGTCTAACGCCTAGCGCAGCAGGGCAGGCCCGGAGGATGCCTGCCAGCCGTCCTGGCCAGGCGAGGCAGGCGGGCAGCGAGCGCCAAGCGGTCGGAGGTCGAGGGCGAGGCCAGGCCAGGGCCACAGCAGAGAGAGGAGGCAGCGGGAAGCGGAGCGCAGATCCTGCGGGCCTGCGGGCCTGCCTGCCTGCCTGCCTGTGGGCCTCTCCGCCTTTCTCCACGTTGATTGAGCTCGCAGGAAGCGAAGGCGTGGGTACGTCGGGCGGCCCATGGAAAGAAAACGAGCGAGGGCGAGGGGGCGATCAGGTGGCTGGTTGCTTGGCTCGTCTGCTTGGCTTGGCCGGCCTGCCTCTTGTTGGCCTGTTGACCCCGCGGCGGCCCAGCCAAAGCCAGTTGGTCGGTCGGTCGGCTTCGACCCTTCCGCTCGTGCCCCGTTGCCCCTCGTCCCCGCCCTATCTCTCCTCTGGCCGTTCCCCACGGCAGGCAACGCCCCATGATCCGAGCAGACAGTCAAGCAGTCACGCTAGCCAAGCAAGCAGGCAGAGCTAGGCAAGCGGCGCGCTATCCTCAGCATATGATTGCCGGCTCGCCGCGCCGGAAAGTCATGCCATGACGGCCAGAGCGAGCTGCTGCGATGATGCTGCCTGCTTCGCCGCCGCCGCCGCCGCTGCTGCGCCACCAGCCCAGGCTGAGCAGCGCAAGCTAGAGGAATTAGACCGTCCCGTCTCGTCGGCCCACCATCATCGCACCATCAACCTCTCGCTCTCACCGCCCGTGCGCCGTTGTCAAAAGGCAAAAGGTGGGTCCGCTGATGAACCCGCCTGACCTGGCCCGCAACCGGGACCCGCCGCGACCCCCTGAAAACCAGGGCTCCTGAGTGGCAAGCGAGCCGTTTGAAACACCGGCCGCACCGAAATCTCCATCATCTGCCTCTCCTCGGCGCCTGGCGTGTCTGCTTAGCCTGTCTGTCGCTGCTCGACCCCCTGAAACCGGAAAGTTCTGTCTGACGGCCAACTGCTGCCGCCGCCTCGCGAGACCAGGCCCACGCCGCTGAGGAGGTACAGGCGGGCGAGCAGTGGTGGCGGTGATCATCATCGTGCTGCCGCGGCCTTGCTGCGTGCCAAGAAGCAGAGGTCAGGCCCTGGCAGGCGCTCGTCGTGCCTGGATGTTCATCTTACGGGCCTGCCTGGCCTGACCTGCCCGGCAAACCCCCATCAAACTCGGCCCGACCCGCCATCGAGGTTCTCAGCTTCTCTCGCCTGCTCAGGACCGCGTCCATATGGTCGGTCGGGCGACCTCCATCGAGAGGCGAGGACTGCTCATCTTTATTTATAAGCCATCGGAGCCTGCCTCGTGTCGAGCTCAAGCAACGTTCGCTAAGGTCGCGGCGGGACGACCGGCGACCGACATGGTGCCGAGCACGTCACAACGCGTCGGACGGCGGGCCCGACAGTTGACTAGGGTCGGTCCGATCCGGGCCCGACTCGCCTCTTGGATGTAGCCCGATGGCGCCCGGGTGCGCGAGGAGATCGTCGTGGTGGGTGCTCCCCGATGCATCCTCGTGAGTCGTATCAGCATAGAGTGGGCCAAGCCAGATGTCGCAACGCCGCAATCCATCTGCGAGCATCGGATCGCGTCCTGCAACGGCGGGCTCGGACGGACAGTCTCCCGCGGTGGCGGAGGAGCATCGATCCTCCGTTGCCATTCAGCTACGGCGCACGTACTGCATTCGACGCTGCGTCGCTCGGCTCGAGCCGGACGTGAGCGGGCGGGCTCAAGCAACGACCTCGCCCGACTTGACCTCCTTGCCCGTCTTCTTGATCTTTTCCAGCACCGTCTCGTAGGGCGCCGTGCCCTTGACGACGACCGTCTGCTTTTCCAGCGACACGTCGAACTCGTCGACGCCTGCGCAGCGTCGCAGCGTGTTAGAGAGAGGGAAAGGGAGAGGGGACGAGGACGAGGCGTGCGCACGGCTTATCTCCGACAGGTCAGCTTCGTTGCGCGCCAAAGAGCGGTGGAGCGGGGTTCGAGCGGATCCTCACCGTCGAGCTTGGAGAGGACGCGCGTCACTGCACCGGAGCAGCCGGAGCAGGTCATGACCACCTCAAATCTGTACTCGTGTCGCTGTCGTTGCGGTAGAGCCGGCCGACGGTCGAGGCGTGTGGACCGGAGCGAGGGGGGTCAGGCTCATAGGTCGATGGCTCCCGTGGCTGCGTGCTCGCATCAACTTACGGCGCTCATCTTTGGTTGTTTGTCAAGCAAGGAGCAGGATCAGGGGGAGAGGCGGTGGTATAACGACTGGCGAGGTAGGCTGGTGGTGGTGATGGTGGTGGTGCGGGGGCAAGTGGACGACAGACTCAAGGTTAAGTGGCCGGGCAGGTGGTGGGTGGGTGGTCCGAGCTCCGTGCCTCGCGGGCTGCCTCGCTGTCAGGGTCCTCCACCGCAAGGCGAAAAAAGGCTCCGAGGCAGGCCGAACAGCCTAGAGCGTGTGCCGGGCAACGCACGCCATCTGGCTCACAGACAACACTCTGCTCCTGGCTCCCTCCATCGCACACAGCAGGGGTCGAGGCAAGGCGGGAGATGCTAGCTCAGCGGCTCAGCCACGGGGTGCACTGGAATTGAACAGACAAGAGCGAGGATCTACAGCGCACGGATCGGCAACGCCACGCTTCAGATCTTGTCGAGCGGTCGGTTGAAGCCTCCCTTGCTGCTCGACGGGGAGGTTAGGGCAAAATGAAGAAGGCAACAGCGGGGTCAGCCATGCGATGGCAGGCAATCGTCCTGCGACCGTCTCATGCGGACACGTACCGGTTCATGTACTGCCGCCACGTCCGCTCCTTTTTCACCTCGGCGGCGCCGGCCTCGTTGGCGGCCACCTTCTTGCCCTGCTCGATCGCAAAGGGGTTAAGGCGGGAACGGGGCGGAAAGGTGTCAGTCAATATCGCAAGGCAGGGACGATGCGGCGAGAAGGCGCAGCTGGCGTACCTTTGTGGTGCCGAAGCCGCCAAAGCCCAGCATGGCCATCATGTCCTCTTCGGACGGCCCTGCGGCCGCATCGCCGGTATCTTCCACCTCGCCGTCCTCTGGCTGCCCGGCTTCTTCCTTGCTCGAAGCGCGCTCCCGATCGTGATCATGATCGCGGTCTCTGCGACGGTCGCGATCCCTGCCCGGATCCGCATCATCGCCTCTTGACCTGTGTCGTGCCGGCGATCGGCTGCGGCTACGGCTTCTCCTCCTCTCGCGATACCTGTCGTGCTCCCTTGACGGCGGTGGGGCAGAGTCCTCGTACGGTGCCGGAGGGGGACGACCTGATCTACCACCATCGTGACGAGTTCGATCCCGCTCGCGATCGCGGTCCCTGCCGTCGTGGCGGTCGTTCCCGCGTCCATCGCGTGCAGAGCGGTATCGATCGTCGTCGCCCCTCGCGCGATCCCCTCCGCCGCGGCTCCGATCGTGTCCATCGCGAGCGTACGGCGGGCTGACGCTCCTCTTGTGCCTGCTGCTCGAAGACGGCGGTGGTCCACCCCTCTCCCCGCCCCCGTAGGGCCGTGAAGAGGACGAGGAAGGCGGCGGTGCATCGCGGTAGCGCGAGGAGCCGGATCGCCAGTCGCGGTCGCGGTCGCGGTCGCGTTCGCGTTCGTAGTCCCTGACCCCGGAACGGCGAGGCGGTGAAGCTCTCCTGTCGCTCATGTCGTCTTGCGTGGCTCAGCGGGCGGGTGCGGTGCAGGTGCGAGGGATGGTTGGTGTGGTGGAGGAGCGGGCGGAAGCTTCGAGCAAAGGCGGCGGAGCGGGCATCCCAACCTGGAGGGACGGCGCAGCAGCTTTTGTGGAGGGTCAGCGCCCGTGGGCCGTGGGCCGTGGCCCCCCGCTCGCTGCCTGCATCCGACCGGCGGGCAGGCAGGGCTGCTTCGTGCCAAACTCGAATTTCGGATCCGCAGACAGGGCCCCAACCCGCTCGCCCGCTGTGATCGCGTCTTGGCGGCCGGGAAAGCGGGGCGCGGGCGGGGCCCAGCAGGAGCCACCACCACCGCTCACACCAGCAGCCACCACCACCCACCCCCCACCGCCATCGCCCGCTCACCACCTCTGTGACCCTCACGCAAGCCCTTTGACGGTGCAACAGAGCGACGCAATCACCGGGTATCTCCTTTCCGCAATCCTTCCCCCGATATCAATAGCCAAGATGGCAGGCGGAGACTACCGTGAGTGCCCATAAGGCGAGACCGACTGCAGCGGCGCCGATGGAGACCACGGCTCTTGCGGCCTCGGGCGCGATGCTGATCGTACCGCGTGATGCTGGCTTCGTTTCCGGCCCGCCAACAGACCCATACAAGGTCGACCCGGCCCTCGACCGATGGCAGAACATGGTGAGTAGCGCACGGCGGCGGCGGAACGAGTGGATCGACCGCGGGGCTTCTCGACTCACCTGGCATCATCTCTCTTGCCCCTTGCTCTATCCGCGGCAACGACAGCACTCGACCATGTACCAGCGCTTCAAGTTCACACCGGCCAAGACCCGCGCCATCCTCCTCTGGGGCGCCACGGTGCCGGTGTTGACCTACTACCTCGCGGCCTACTCTGATGTGAGTGTGCGGACGTGCCATGACGTACGGGCGGTCCTCTGAGGACGAACGGCCGCCGACTCACCTGTCTTCCCACCTTACTGCTCCTTCATCCCGCCATTTCCTCGACAGGCTCGCTGGGACCTCCGAGGAAAGACCCGGGACGACTCGCTCCTCCGGAAGCCCCCGGCGGCTCCGGCCAAGGAGAAGTCGGACGAGTAAAGCGCACCCCGGCCTGCCTGTCAACGTCGTGGCGCTCTCTTGCAATGAGGAAGAAGTATCGGTCTCTGGTCATCGTGCACCGCCGGATTGAGCGGCGAGCCGACGCTCTCATTCATGGCCGCCACTGGGCTCGGGCAGGGACAGAGGCCGCTGCTGATCGGATCTACGAGATACGGCCGATGCGCCTCGGCGACGAGGCACTGCTGCTGATCTACTCGGACTCCAGCGACGCCGCTCTAGGCCCGCTTGTCGCCCCACGCCGCCGCCTTCCACCCGTGGGCGCCCCGGTAGAGGTTGCCAAACGGCTCGGGCTGCTTCCAACCCTGGAGGACCGTCTCCTTGTCCCTGATGTCGTAGACCTCGACGCCGAGGGGCCTGCAGCACTCGAGTGTGGGATCCTCGTCCTCGTCCTCGTCCCCGGCCCCGGCCGGCTGTGCGCCCTCGCCCCACATGGCCTTGGACAGGTCGCCGCCGGGACAGGTGCTCAGGGCGCAGAGGAGGTCGGTCTCTGCGAAAAACTCGAAAAAGTCTCCGCGGCGGGCCGGGCACGTCTTCATAAAGTACTGGTCCGAGGCGTTGAGGCCGGTGCACTGGAAGACGTTGAGGACGTCGTGGACGTCGCTCTCGACCAGGCCAAAGGGGTGCACGGCGCGCACCAGGTTCGAGTGGCAGTGGTAGTCGAAGTCCTGGCCGGTCAACATGCGGTTGACGTATGGGTCGCAGCGCTGCGCAGCCGGCGGCGAGGTCCGGCGAGGGGAGGGTGCAGTCGGAACGAGTGGTCGTACTGGTCAGCTGGGTCGTGCCGCCCACCACCCCTTCTGGAGCGCAGCCGACTTACGGTGCCGAGGAGGTCGTGCACCCTGCCGCCCTCGTCGTCGACGCCTCCGCCCTTTCCGTTGCCGCCCTTTCCGTAGTCCTTGAGCGAGTCGCCGGTGATGGTGCAGAGCGGGCGGAGGTAGGGGAGGCAGGACCAGAGGCGATCGTAGATCGAGACGTGGGCGCGCTGGAGCTGCCTCGTCCTCGAGGCCCAGAAGCGCTCGCGCGGGTTGTGCAGGTTCCAGATGTTGAGGTCGCCGCTGACGTCGTCTCGGGTGTGTGCGAATCATCGAGGCGAGGCGTACGGGGCACCGCGGTAGATGAGCATCGACGTACGGAGTGAGAGCGGTTTGTCCTGACAGCGAGGGGGGAGCGCTGCGTACTCACACCTGTGCGCCCTCGACGGCGACGACGCGGCAGACCTGGCCCGCCCGGACCTTCCACGCCTTGCCGCTGCGGATGGGCAGCACAAACGAATCGATGAGCTCCCGGTGCTGCTTGGACGCGGCCTCTGACGAGCCAGTCTCCCCGATCCGGTCATAGAGGGCGCGGTCGACGTCGAGCGGTCCGCCGGGCAACGCCTGGTAGGCTGCTTGCGTCAGTCGTGGGTCTCCGGTCATGGTGGCTGGCAAAGGCTGTAGTGGGGAAGTAGCGGGTCGACCGTGTGTCGCAATAGAGGCGTCACCGGGGGGTGGGAGTGAATGACGAGGAGGAGGAGCAGCAGCAAGAGTGTCGTGTGCGGGGACGAGTCATGCCGCGGGGTCCAAGAAGACAGCAGGCCAAGGCCAGGCCGGGCCAGGCTGGTTGGCCCGACCCGCGCTCCTAGCCACGCGGGTTTTGCAGGCCGGCCAAGACGCCGGCCAGCAGGTGGGCCGCGGTCCCCTCTTCGCAACATCCTCGCCACGCCCGCTCGTCGCTCCTCTCGCACACCACCCAACGAAGTACAGCGGATCTCTGCCACACAGGCTTACGGTGACCAGACCAGACGGTAGCGGACCATTCCATTCCACTCGCATCGCCCTACTCGCTCGACCCGGCGAATGAACCGCAGGGAGAGATCAGAGGAACAACCTGCGTCGGTCGAGGTCGAGAAGCGCAAGCGCCGGAAAGCAAGCAAGAGATAGAGGCAGCTGCGTCAGCTTTGGCCGCCAGCCGCCATCGCGCAGTCACGACGACACTCGCCCCGGGACACTCACGTCTTCTCCTTGACGGCGCGGAAGCCAAACAGGTCCCAGTCCTCGCGCCGGATCCACATCTCGTTGGCGCTCTCGAGGCGCGCAAACACGGCCATGCCCTTCCACGCCAGGCTGCGCGGGTCCATGTCGCGCGGCGGCGGAATCACCGTCACCTTTGGCGCATTGGACGCATCGCCCGTTGTCTGGGCGTAGTGCGTGGCAAAGAGCGCGTTGAGCCTGTCGTCGGGCAGGGCCAGAGGGGGAGAGGAGAGACGGATGCCGCGTTCAGCGATTCATCGAGAGAGCCGAGCGCGCATGGTGGACGAGCAAAGGGCGACCGCAAAGGCTTACCTGGCTTCCAACGCCGAGCCGAGGCCGGGGATCAGCGCGGTGCCCCCCACGCAGAGGATGTTGTTGGCCATCTTCTTGACCCGCTCCTCGCCCGCCGACGCCGACACCGAGGTGCACGACAGGATCGAGTTGAAGACGGCCTGGTCGAGCGAAACCTTGCTCGCCTCGTATGCGATGTCGACCGTCGGCTTCGGCTCCTCCTCGGGTACGGCCGCGGCATTGGCATCGAGCGACGCCTGCGCTGTCCCCGCAGCTGCCGCCGCCGCCGTCGACGGCCTGCGGTACGCCGG